GCTGTCACTTTCTAAACCTGTGAACGAGTGTAAAATCGGACCATAACCCTGGAACTAACACTTCAATACGTTACGCTGAACGATGCATATATCTGTATGAAGAGGCTGAAACATTATGCGTTAGCGACGTGCTTTCGTTTTGACAGTGTAAAGATCGTGCGCCATTCAGGAGAATGGAGAATGCCTTTTCAATTATAATTCAATTCATTTTTTACAATGCAGTTTGAGTTTAAATGAGTGTAGGATTCAAATCAAGTTCAAAGAAATTCATGTGAGTTTTAACTAGAACAACAAAGTTTATCATATATTGAAATGTAAGCTTTAAAAAGCCTTGTTTGAAAGTTTTAAAAAGCTTTAAAATTTAAAGGTTTATAGGCCGTACATATTTGCTACCTGTTGAAATGTTTGTCTTCTATGGTTGAAAAACACTTAATTTCACAGAGTGCATTACCCGTGTTGTATAATTAGAATTGCAATTCAGTAGATACTCGTGATTCCAACTGCCCCTTCGCCAGGAGTTTGAATGACAGGTGATCTGACATCATAATAACCATTTTGTCAGACAAAACAAACCAGGGGTGCATTTCCTAAAATCATCGTTAGCTAACTATCGTCATTAGTTCCACTGAATTCTATTGGCAACTACGGAACTTGCGACCGCATTTGCTTTTGGGAAACGTACCCCAGACAGGAGAGTAGAAAAACATTGGTGGACTTGAACTTGAAAAATGGTGTGTATTGACGTCTTTCCACATGCTGAAACAAGATACCTTCTGATGTTCATTCATGTTTATTTTGTGCTACCTGTATAACTAGTAAAGAGGAAGAGATGATCGGTTGAGCTGAGGAGCTAGAGTGATCTGTCACGACACATTAAAGAGCCACAAAACGGTATTTATTGTTTGAATTTCTTAAAAAAAAATTACACTATTTGACAGCTGAGACTTTCATATCAAAAGAAACCTGCTCTGTCAAATTTCAGTTTTTTCAAATTCCATCCCATTCAATTTCCTGTTTGTTGTGGCCAGTTTAAATTCACACTCAAACATTTTGCACAACCCTGACAGATGCTTCAACAGGAAAATAATTGCTCAATTATTGCACATGCTTCAGAACATTGTGCCAAGGTGCTTATGCTGGTGATGTGGGTTTGAATTTGGCTTGTGGCATTTGCCCATCACATTCATCTAATGTGTTGCGAAACTTATCAGTGCCTTTGGAGAATGCAGGAGTTACATTAGCTCTGACCACAAAATTAGACGCTGATGAGGCAAGATGCACATTTTCTTCTCACTCTTCCCAGTTAATATCAGTATGTTTAAAAGTGTTCATTCAGTTCAAGTTGATTAAATATTAAACTGAATATGTTCTAAGTAAAGCATACATGTGTGATTTTGTGTATTGTTACCTTGCTACTTTTACTGGACACATATGGAGCCAACTTATTAGCAGTCTGTGCACAGTGTATAATGTGGGAAAAGGTTAACAATGGAGATTCCTCTGATGAGGTGTCACATTTAAGTGTCAAGTTACCTTCTCTTACTCTGTAATGCATTCTATTGCTTTGCATCCAACTTGTGCACTGGTTTGGTGGTTCTACAGAGTATAATGTGAATATGTACGACTGTTACGAGGGAATATTTGGTTCATACAAACATTATTCTTAAACGTCATTGTCATTGGTTTGTGCAGAGATAGCAATTGAGGGATGAATATTCAACCAGTCATTTTAATTTCTTTATTTCTTATTAAAGATATTTATGGTAGCATCTTTTTATGTGCTTTAATGTATAGAATTCTAAACATAAGCAATTGTTGTAATGCGTCAGCTCAGATCGCGAAAATTTATTCTGGCGAGGCAAGATGCACATGTTTTCTTCTCACTTTTCTCAGTCAATATTGTGTATAATGTGGGAGGAGGTTAGGGCAACGGATATTATGTCCCATATGTTCTTCCAGAGCCAATAAATGGAGGTGGTTTGAACCTGACCTGTTGTCCTCAGCCTGATGTCTCTTATGGACAGAGTTGGATCTGCTACACAAGGATAAACAGTACTCTCATCTTCTGTCCAACATTTTACCTTGTTTTATTTTATTTTTGGGCCTTTTGCCAATTTCATTTATAAGCAGTGTAATTTAAAAGGACTTCAACTCCCTTTCAAGTAAGGCTGCACAATTAATCAAATTTCTAATCGCGATTACAATTATGGATGCCACAATTACGTAATCGTTTAAAGCGGCAATTATGTTATTCTGCGTGCTTAAGATGTGTTTTTTTCTTTCTACGTGTTATCTTAAGGGTTTTTCTCATTATTTTAATTTTAGTTGTATAACATTATAATACCATTCATATTTTTATTATTATATTGTGATCATCGTAATTAATAATCACAATTACAATTTCAAGGGAATAATCGACAATTATGATTTGTGTCATAATCGTGCAGCCCTACTTTCAAGTGTTTTATCTCTTTTGATGACAAAGAGTTTGATTATATTCTGTGATACAAAAGGGTACAGTGCGCATGCCAAATACCTCTTTTAAATCTGATTCAAAGTCCTCAGTGTTTCGCTAGTTTTATGTAATTCTGCCCTGTTCTGTATCTTTAAGACCTTTTTTGTTTTTCATTTTCTGTGCAGATTTGGAGAGGAAAGTCAGCTGAATTCAGTGTGGAATTATACAATGTATGGATTTTTGTGCAATGGATTTATACAACAGTTCACCAAAAATATATTTCCAAAACCATATCTTTCCAAACCTGTATGAACAAAAGAAATGTTCAAAAAAAATGTTTTATGTTTTACCCCAACTTTAAAATATGATATTTTCCTATCAGCAGAAGAAAATGTGAAATGAGTTTGGAAAGATTGAGTGAATATAGAGTGAATATTTTAAAATTTTGATGAACTATCCCTATTAAGAAGCAATTGGTGCTGTTTTGCATCTTTTGTGCTGACTTTGAGAGGAAAGTTTGGAGAATTCAGTGTAGTAGATTTATATTAAGTACTTGATTTATGTTAAGTAAAATGTGGGGACGGGGACAGTTCACCTAAAAATCTACTCACCCTTAAATATGAACACAAGAGATACTAAAAAAGTCTGTTCAATGAGATTCAATGGGCTCCAATGTTGTTTTTACCCCAAATTGGAAGTTGGAATGACATGAGGGTGAATATCTTCATACAGCTGGTATTAGTAGCTATGTAATATATCCAATTTTCCTGTTTTATTCACTAAACAAACACACAAAGGACAGGGCATGTGCAGAAGTTTGTGACTGACAGGCATTCAGTCCCATGGAGTTTCCGTGTGGGCCCAGTCAACAGTTTAGTTCTGTGGTTTAATTTGTGGATCCACTGAGGATTTACTTCGGCAGGAATTTGATATCATCATATAACCGAGCTTCCAAAGTTTAGAGCAGTCATTTCGCCCGCTCTGTGTGAATGCTGCGAGTGCATTTCCTGCCATCTTTCACCCATGTTATTTTTTGTGGCTGGTAGTAAAAATGTACATCATGTAGGGAAAGACTGGAACATCTGACAGGAATAAAAGCCCAGATGCACAATGGAGAGACATGCACATGTGCGTCGCTCCAGTGATCAATAGCCAAAAAGGACGTGACCTTTGCATATCCCATCCTGATTAATGCATGCAAAACCGCAATATATTCAACACTGTTTTAATCACGTATGCATGATTTAGAACTTCCATAGTTGTTGTTTTTTGTTTGGCAACAGCTGTGTTATCAGATATTACAAATGGATAGTCAAATCTGTAAACCATAAATCAGTTGCATCGTGGAATTTTACGGTCTGGATTCAATGCCACAAATGTTTGCTTTCGCAAGCCAATGAAGAAATTCGCCTCAATCCAGACAGTTCTGCGTGCCGAAGAGCAGATCGCACTCAAATAAAACCCTGGTGCTATTGTGCGTGATGGCATTTTAAACATCCTGATGATTAGCGACTGGCACACTTCAATGCAGCTTGCTCTGAGCATGTCGGAGCAGGACAGGCAGAGAAAACAAACGCACCCATCCAAGATCTTCTATAGGGAAAAATGCGCGGGGATCAAAATGAAACGTGTCAAGCTCAGGGTCACATTTCGAATGGATAACGCTGCACCTGCAAGCCGATTTTGAGAGTTCCCTCTGAGGTCTAGGGGAAAGAGTGTGGGTGAAAGCATCGATTTTACAGTGCAGACCTTACTCAGGCTTGCAAACTAAGCCCGATTGAATCCCAGGTTACGGGAGTTGAAAGGCTCAAGTGAATATAAGCTTAACCTGCCATGCCTTTGGCACCTCAAAATGCACCAGATCCCATAGACGAGTATGATTAGGTCATCTCTATGGGTCAGCTGCCATATATCAGCCTTTCTAAATGTATGAAACAAAAGGGAACAGTCACAGTCTTCAATAAGAATATCTACTAGTGCATATCTGGGATGCAATAGATTTTGTCACAAGAGTAAATGCGGATTAACCCAAAGGGAGTTCCTGAATAACAACAGATTGTCTTTGGAAACATCAAACTACTCATAAATACCTCTGGCCCGACAGAGATCCGCTTTGCAAAGGTATGGGTTAAAAAAAGACTTTGTCAAGCTTGTTGAACTCAAATGGACTGTAAGTGATGAATGGTGGCCTGAAGGTCTAGGGCAGGAATCAAAGGTTCTCCTAGGGGACTTTGTTGTGGTCTAATGTAAAAAGCACCAAACAGGGACTTCCCTTTTCTGTCTAATGCATCTGATAAAACAATATAAGATCAAGATTTCTTATCAAGAGACAAATACAGATGTCTTGGTAATCTCTGAGATGATATGACTTCCCCAAGTTCGGAAAACTTCAGCATCTTGATTCAGTTAATGTAACAACCTGTTTACTAATCATGATCTATGCGCTCTAGCACAGTGGTGCTTCCTGAATCTGTGGCGATCTGCAGTGTTTAACACCCCGGCTGTAAGTAGCAGCTTATGCTAACAAAAGAAGATGTGTCCTTACCAAGTGGCCAGCTAAGCCAGACTTATCAAGGTGGCGTTGTGTTGGGTTGACCTCAGGCAACAGGAGGGGAGGGCAAATCCCTCATGGAGGCGCTAGCGTGAGCTGTCCATCCACACTGTATATCCATGTAATGAGTCGACGGCGAGAGCCTTCTGCGGGTTGGTTATGAAGTACTCTACCAGTGTCCTAGAGATTCCTTCTCATGATGACTTCTCCTCCAGGCTTTTCCAATATATGTTTACATTAAGATTTCTTCCGGCCACTCTGGAGGTGGGCTCGGAATTGCCTCATCCTTTGACATAGTTGGTTACGCAAGTCCGAGACGAGTAGATTGCGGCTTTGCAATGTAAATCACTTAGGAAAAGAGCCTGTGCTTTTGGGTTCAGGTGGTTTCTGTCCGTTTTTAGGATTCCAGATCTGAAATACACAATCCAAATTGGCAGAATGAACTTTGTGCACTTGGTTAAAGACAGCAGCATAAATTAGCATTATTTGGTCCTTAATGTGGAAGCAGGTGGATGTGCAAAAACTAGCAATTTAAGGCTTCTCCCATATCAATAAAGTATTGAATCCGATTGAAATTGTACCCAGTTCCTAATGCTTGGTAGAGTATCATATTGTTCGCTTGTAAACATGCAGACTCTTTAAAAATCTATTTTGAGTAAAGTCTCCCATGCAGAGCGTTAGTAACTAGAGTTAGTCCCAACGCAGAGCATTTCAAATCAATCCCTTATGAGGTCCCTCTCAGTTAAGATGCGTATGTAGACAGCACAGCGGTTCTCTATGGTTTTCGCAACAGAGCTGTTAAGTGAAGCCAAAACATTTTTAGTAAACTTTAATTCGTTCCAGATCTTCACCCTCATGTAGGGTTTAGACCAATGTAGACCAAAACCAAATTTAAGACTAAATCCGACAAGCTCTTGGTGTTTTAGTCTGAAATTCATTTTCAGATTTGTTTCAACATTCTCATCTACACCATTACTCCATAAAACCGTAGATTTACGGACTTTACTGTCAATCCAAATTAAATATCATTTTGAGACAAACCTCACTGCAATCTGTTTATAAAGTACTTAAACCGTCTAAGCTTGTTCCTTCAGTGCTTCCAGACTTACCATGTGCCATGTGAAGCTTACAGGTTGTCCAGATCCTGGTTTGGTTTCCTCTCATGCAAAGTCCTTCGTGCGTAAGATCCCTGCCTGTGTGTAAAGCGATGTGTAAGAGCAGGAGTTTGCGTGTGTATGTTTGTAGGGGTGTGCGCATGGAGAACTCCCCTTGGTCCCTGTCAGTCTTTCTCCTCCCTGTGTGTGAGACTCCTCCTCTACCAGCTCGCTGATCACTGGATGGGTCGGATTACCGTAGACTCTAATCACTCGCGGCACAGTCTTGGATCTCCCCCTCTCTCACTGGACGGGGCCTGGGGATGCTCAAAACCAAGGCACAATGAACACCAGAGCTTTAAACACCTACTGCAGTGCACACCACATGCTCGACACCTGTAATGTGGGACAATCCATATAATTCACACTTATCCTGCCAGACTCTCTTCAGACAGAGTCACTTAACTCTATCACTGGCTTTTAATTAATTAATTATTTTTATTTAAGATACTTTAATATAGTTTAATAATGTAAAAATAATTGTAATTATTTTATAATAAGAGACTCTGCAGTGATCCGTTAGTGACTCACTGAAGCCAAAATCATCCCAATTAAAAGAACCAAAGACTTAAACTACTTCAGTCTGTGTGCATAGAATTTATTTAATACACGAGATTCACAATTTGAGTTGAATTACTGAAATAAATGAACTTTTCCACGACATTCTAATTTATTGAGATGCACCTGTATATACAGTGGGTACGGAAAGTATTCAGACCCCCTTCAATTTTTCACTCTTTGTTATATTGCAGCCATTTGCTAAAATCATTTAAGTTAATTTTTTTCCTCATTAATGTACACACTTTGCAAAAACTGATAAACGCCACTTAAAAAAAAAATTAGCTGATTGCTGTGCATTATTCTCCACATATAGTGCGATCTGAACCCTAAACACGTTTTGTCAAAAAAGCCGGTTTTGTCCACTTTCAAGGCAGTTCATATTTTACTGCAGAAGCCGACAAACGCCCTTGTTGTTTTTGAACAGAAGCCGATAAGTCCATTTTAGCGAATCCGCGTGCTGTATTCAGGTCAGGTGACAAGGCTACTTTCACTTTGAAAAGACGAGCTAGCTGAGAGGAGTTTCGTCAAAGCTGACTAAAAGTGATCGAGGATGGATAATTTCGACGAACTTGATAAACCTGTGATATCTTCTTCAGGGCGAAAAAGGAAAATTAAATCTGAAACGTTTTCACGGAACCTTGCAAAAGCGACAGAAAGAGAAAACCTCAGTGTGTTGCATGTAATCACATCCATACAGTTTATGATCACAACAACAACAACGTTTGTCAGGCATCTACATTGTCATCTGAGGAGATTACAAAGATTAAACCAGTGTTTTTTTTAACTCTAAAACATGAAATGTGGAGTTATCTGCTTTTGCTATAAAACAAACTGTTAATATGTAAAAAAAACATACTTTCAATGAACTTTAATTTTGTAAATTTGCTGTATTTAAGTTATTATATATATGCGCAGTAAAAACAACGTGATTTCTGAAAAAATAAAAATGGAATTATCGGTTTTTGCAAATGAACTCTTCATATATATATATATATATATTCTATTATTGATTGATGTTGATAGTTATTATTTATTATATAACTAATGCAGGCAGACGTGAGTCTACATGCATCTTTTATCATCTTGTGGCTGAATTTCTTATATTCATTTCCTCAAGTAATGGAGACTGAACTGCACCTTTAGGTCAATGGATGCGCAACGCTTTCCGTCACACTTTTTGAGCGCTTAGCTTGCCCTGCAGCTCATAACTGTTTTAAACATGCTGCACGACGCTAAAGGATTACCGCGGGATGTAGTTTGGCATGCATTTGCGAATGACTTCATTTTTAAAATAAACAACAAAATAAAATCAATAGGCCTGCATGTAATCTCTCTTGCTGTTTGCTTGTGTGCATCGGTTACCCTTCTGCCTGTTAATGCAGGTACACTTGAGTTTTTCTGGCCCGTCACCTTTGACTTGGAAGTACTCAGGCTAAGTTTTCTGAGAAATGTGTTGTGGTCCATGCTCTAAGAAACTAATTGAATTGTGATGTGAATATTTTAGATGTTTTTATGTGACTTGCACTTGACTTGGTTTACAGTTGTGAAAACCAGCATGTTTTCCATGTTCTCCTTGGACTTGCTTAGACGAAATGTGTGCCATTACATTTAAAAGCATCAAGTCCTTCCCAAGCGAAATACCTTGAAACTCGTGGCCGTTAACCAACGCCGCTGTCTGCCAGGAAGGGTGAACGTGAGACTCTGCAGTGATCCGTTAGTGACTCACTGAAACACATCGGCTCTCAGCATAGAGAGTGTTGGAGTCAGCTAATGCAAAGCAGATGGAAGACCTTCACAAAAATAAATGTCTGACCGTACGGCAGCATGGCACACGTTCGCTCTGCAACCTGTCCAAAGTCTGGAGTTATCTGACTCTCGTAACATTCCCACTGCGTGATTCAGCACCTGTGTGTCTTGGAGAAAGGACAGAGTGCTAAACGGTGAAGCATGTCTTTGCTGAGAGATTTAAGAGGATGGAATGATAGTTTATTTAACTTCTGTTGTTAGACTATTTTCTTCTTTCCAAGTTCAACATGCAAAGACAACCATGAATCATTTATGGGTTGATTCACCTGAACAGTGTGACTCAAAACTCAAGACAATCTGGTCTGTCTGGCCGACCATGGGTTGCAAAGACTTCAAGAAATACCTTTGAAAATAGGCTTTAGTCTTTAGTTGTAATTGTTTTAGTGACTCCATTGTTGTCAAAATAACACGCCTCACCTTTAACTGGAAATGTCAGCGTGCTGATGTCTGTGATTTACAAAATACTAGATATTTGCCAGTATATTTAGGTGTCATAACATGCCATTTATTTGACGGTTGTATACTGAATCACAATAGCAACGTACACACTGGAATATTTTGGGAGCGACAACTGCATTTAAATGTGCGAGTGAGTAAATTATCGTTCTGTGTGTTTATGGAATACAGGAGTCACTTGTGAACATGAACTTTTTTGGCATGTCGTGAATGTAAACATGAAGCATGAATGTTTAAGCTAATTGGTTTAGCCGTTTTTGACCAAAATGACGTTAGCGACAAGAAACACATTACCACCCTCTTATATAGCGCTGCGGGGATGACGTGTTTTTGAAGGCCAACCTGGAAGTTTAGTGTCATCCATAGGACTTTTCCATTGGATTTTGGATTGTTGCAGAAAATCTATGACCATGAAAAGTTTAGGACTTGTCTCTTACAGATTTTGTTCATCATAAGCTGAACAACATTCATAAATTCAAAAAAGAGGGTTTTACTAATGTATTTTTTGTTGTAGAATAAAACGTGAAAACATCTTGAGCTTGTGTTAAACTACAGACCTTGGTTTGGCCTTTTCTGCCTCCGATACCGATTCCGATACCTAGGGTTCGGTATTGGCCGATACCGATACCAGTGAAGTTTTAAGAAAAGAAAAAAACTCGGATTTGGATCGGCTCTCTCTGACCGATACCCGATCCGAGAAAAATGGCACTATCGGAGCCGATACCCAATATGAATATCGGATCGGCGCATCCCTAGTTTGGCCTAGGTTTTGACCTACAGAAATGTGTCCATTGTCTATTAGTGAATCACTTTGGATTTAATAACATGTGGTCAAAAATATTGTTAGCAAATGTTTGCTTGTATAGTTTGTTACAAAACCTTTTTTTTCAGTTTTGGGTCAAAGACAAGGCATCCAAATCTAGAGTCTGCATCAAATTAAATTTACAAAAGTGATTTTATATAAATAGAAGGTATATTTAGTGCAAGAAAAGTGTCTACTAAAAAACTTTTGTGAAAATAAAATATAAAAAATATGGGTGAATTAATGTTACATTGTCATTCAGCATAGCATATATTTATGTAAAAATGAAAACACTTATTCTGACCTGTATGTATTAAAATATGTAAAAGAAAGTGATCATACAACATTTTTATTATATTTTATATGATTAAAAACTTAATAATGAATAGTGGCAATAATTGGTAAAGATTTAAAATGACTTTATTTTTTGAGGCTGTAGTGTGATCCTTAAATAGACTATTTTAATGACAATTATTCCTTATCTGAATGTCCCTGACAAGATTTTTTGGTACATGAACTGTTGCGACATTCAATCACATTTTAGTGTCTTTACACTTTTAGCGTCACATTTTGGTTCATCATAGGGCTGGACAATAATTCAATGTCAATATGTATCACGATATCATTTTTTTCAATAACGGTGATATGATTTTTAAACACATTTCCGATATTTCGATATACATTACCAGAGTTTCCCATACATTGATTTATTTGTGGCGTTTGACTTCGTTGAATAAACATGAGCGCTGCACGTTTCAAAATCATAATACCGCGTGGGTGTTTTATATGAATGTATCTCTGAAGGGAAAGGACTGTCTTCAGAAAAGTTTCGATGGCATTTTCATTTGATCTGATAAAGTAGCATTCATAAGCGGAGCTGATTTGATTACATCCGTTACCGGGAAAACCGCTAGTTCTACCGCTCTAAAAGCGCCTCCTGCTGGCAGAGCTTGCATTTTAAATAAGCCCGTCTCCAGCAACATTTCCAATTTTTATTGTTGTTCAATTTTTTTTGTTTTCTGCAGCGACTCGGAGCACTTTTCATACCCTTTTTTTCTGGCTGAAGCACATTTGTTTCAATCTATAAGAATAATCAGCCAACACTACCAGTCAAACATTTTTGAACAGTAAGATTTTTAATGTTTTTTTTTTAAAGAATTCTCTTCTGCTCACCAAGGCTGAATTTATTTGATCCAAAGTACAGCAAAAGCAGTACAATTTTGAAATATTTTTACTATTTAAAATTGCTTTCTATTTGAATAAATATTCCTGTGACCAAACATAGCTAAATTTTCAGCATCATTACTTCAGTCTTCAGTGTCACATGATCCTTCAGAAATCAATCTAATATGCTGATTTGCTGATTATCAATATTTAAATCAGTTGAGTACATTTTTTTTTTCAGGATTCTTTGATGACTAGAAAGATCCAAAGATCGGCATTTATCTGAATAAAAA